CTGCTCCCCTCAGCAGTGTACTTTGTGCATCTGCCTGTTCTGCTCCCCATTCTGTCTCTGGTGAATCCTCTTACCCTCTGCATCTCTGGCCTATACCCCGGTTCTATATGAATAAATAAATCTTTAAAAAAAAAAAAAAAGAGGCTTGGAGCTAGGCTATGGAGTAGTCTTGCTGGAGAGAAGTTCATCTGGAATTATTCTCAAAAATTATTTTCTTATCAATTTAAAGGAAAAAGCAAAGTGCTATTGTAAATATTCCTTCAAAGAGTTTGTGGTATGTCAACTTTATCAACTCCTGAAGTTCTCGCTCATGCATGTTTCAAATTTGAACAGGGATTATTAATCTTAGGCTGAGGCTCAGAGAACACCACCCTTTTCCATTCCAACAGGCTTTAAGTACTTGTTTCTTCCATTAGACTTCTTGCCATTCTTCCAAAGGCAGACAACACATAGATAATAATGGCCTATCATGTCAAATACTGGGTTTAGGAAGAGAACCAGCCAGCTTTCACCTGCAAGGGGGATTTATGACTTGCTACGAGATAATCACAGAATGCAGAGAGAATGACAGGGAGTTCTGCCTTAGCAGAAGTGACCACTGGGCACAGACTGTTCTCTTACCAACATGTCAGTGGCACTGAGATAGTGCTTGCTGACCATGCACTGTTCCAGCTTCTGAGGCACTTGCTTGATGTTCTCTATTTCATCCAGCAGGTTCAAGACATGCTTATGTTCGATTCCTTCAATCCACAGTTTGCGAAGCTCATCCCGCTTGCAGTGCAAGAGCATCTTGCATGAGAGCAGACTTTCTTTCACCTGGAACACAACCACTGTGGGTCAGTCCAAAGTCTTACCAGCCTACAACCCTAACCTGGCTAGTGTTCCTCATTGGCATTCCTGTAACAGTTGCCAAGTTCCACTCCCACCTACCCTACTTGGCTGTTCTGCTTGCAAAATTTTAAGCCCTGTTCTGACATTGACTCACTTGGGTGCATTAACAGCGCTCTGGGTTTTTCTCTACTGGGAAATCAGAAAACTACTCCTCATCTGTCTATGAGTAAATTGTAAAATAAAAAATTACTTAGGCTAAGAAAGAAAAGGAAAAATACCGGATGGTTTCACTTATAGCAGGAATATAATGGACCAGGTGAGAAAATAACAGTAATAAACAGCTATATACCAGAGACATTTTATGGGGGTGGAGTGGGGAATGGGATCAAAAACAGTGGGGGGAGGGAAATGTACTGGATTATAGTGATGGCACATGGGTGATTTGGTGATGGGAAGCCCACAGGGATTACAACTGAGATGGAAAAATGCACAAAATGATGTAAAAATAACTATTATATTATTAAAAAAATTACTTAGGCTATCAAATACTTCAGAAACAGGTAGTATCACCATCATGTTAACAGATCTAAAAGTGAGTGACTGATGTGAGAGGTCCTGCATTATTCCTTATTCTTTCCCCAACTCTCCTGGTATCTTTTCTATTCAGCTGACAGGTCACTAGGTCTACTTTTCTAGATGTAGAACTTCAGCTGAAGCTCACCATTAAGGGACTGGGCATTTGTCTCTACTAGTTTAAAGGAAACTAAGCTCATCTGTCCAGGTACATTTGGAGGGATACTGAAATAAAAGGAATAAAAACATAGCAATTGTTTGTCTTATAGTTTAGATTTAGGCACTGAGTAAGACAATCTCGAGCATTCTCATAAATCTGTATTGGATAACGACCAACACAAGTACGGCCAGACCAATAGAAGAGGAGCGCCCAGAGGTAACCACAATGCACATTAAATATCTTCATTCTCTCCCCAAATTAAAACTTTATCACTTACAAGATGGCAAAGTAAAAAAAAAAAAAAAATGACACCAGAATTCATAGAATGACTTTCATATACTTTTGAGAACCATAATATGTATTTGTAGTTAAATTAGCATTTAATCTTTGCAGCTTTGTTTGTGCTAAAAATTCTAACTGAATACATCTCACATGTAGCATTTGATAACACAACAGGATCAACTGTGTGATCCAAATCTTTCTCGATATACAGGCCATTCCATCATACTAGCTCTACCAGGTGCCAAAGAGTTGTTGGCATGATTATGTACATACTCAACTAATGCTACCCACCTGGTAGTTACAAGACTAACTCAACATTTTCCCAAGCGACAATAAGACAGAATGCTAAGATTATGAGGTTTCCTAAGAAAGCTTATCACCTAATCCTGCACCTTTAGCTCAATACCTAAATTGTACTTTTATGAACTCCCAATATAAAAAGAGCCCTCCAAAGTAAAAAGGAGACTTTAATCTCTCTTGAAAAGCACAGACAATTATGACTAGGTTTGTTTTTTTTTTGGGGGGGGGAGGTCCAGACATTAAAAATCTGTTGAAGATGGCCCCAGTTACCAATTTGCCTTCCTGATATCTGAAAAAAGCAATAGAAGAATTGTTTCAGCATAAAACACGAAGAAACATGCTAAAAATGGAGCTTTCAGATGACTCAGCAATCCCACTCCTAGGTAGCTACCCAAAGGACACAAAAATATCGATTCAAAAATGACACCTGCACACCCATGCTTATTGCTGCTCTATTTACAAGAGGGAAGATGTGGAGTCAACCCAAATGCCAAAAAATTGATGACTGAATCAAGATGTGCTATATATGTATGGTGGAATATTACTAAGCAAGCAAAAAGGATAAACTCATGCCATTTTCCAGCAACATGGATGGAACTGGAAAAGCTCATGCTTAGTGAAATAAGCCAAAAAGAAAATCAAAAATACTGGATGGGTTCATTCATAGGAGTGTAAGGGATCAGGAAAATAGAATATATATATATATATAGAGAGAGAGAGAGAGAGAAATATTGATACAGTAATTTTAATAAAGTAAAAAAGAACATCAACTAACAACTATAGACCAGAGACATTCTATGGGGGAGGAGAGGGAAACAAGACCAAAACGGGGGTGCAAAGAGCACAGGGGACTATAGTGAGGGCAGATGGGTGAAATGGTGATGGGAAGTTCACAGGGATTACAACTGAGATAAAAAAAAAAAAGCACAAATTGAAGAATAATGTAAAAAATATATAAAATTTTTAAAAAGACCAAGAAACAGATTTAACAGAGGAAATAAATAGCAAATAGGAGATGGCAACTAAACTTTGGAAACTGGCAACAAGATAGATGGTGGGCAATTTAATTACAGAGCAGAAAAATCTGGGAATGTTAAACCTTTAGTGGAGTTTGTTAACCCTGACAAGCTAGCACTCAGTATACTGAAGGCGGAATGGGGTTGAGACGTTTTCTCAGTAGTATCTTGATATATGGATTCTCATCAAACCACATGCACTGGTAATTCCACGGATTCTCATCAAACCACATATACCGGTAATTCCCTCCCACCGAGATTGGTCAAATAGAAGGTTTATGATCAGAAGAAACTGAATAATTAAGCTTTAAGTCAGGAAGTGCCAGATAAAACTGAGGGTAAAGTAGCTGTGTGCCATGGTGAGGATTCAGTACAACTCTGCTTAACTTTCAATCCCAACACAGGAAACTTACTGTTTTCTAAGGAAAAGTAACCAAATGAAAAGATCTATAGATCGTGACATTTGATTTTCACAAAGGAAATTGTCAGGGCCCTGCCCAG